TGAGGCTCCTCGGTACATGCGCAGCAGGTCTGTTCCTTGGTATCTGTAACGTGAGTGCAGCTTATAGAATGTACATATGGAGTTTCAGAAATATGGCAGAAGCTGTTGGAGGACAGGGTCCCGTGGCTCCAAGGGTAAAACGATGAGCATGAAAACCAGAGCATGGACAGATACTGCAGGGAGGTCGAGATGTGGGAAGGCCATTTGGTGACCAGTTGGATGGTGCTGTGTCAAGGGTGACAGGAGAGCGTGCTGCTTGGGACCTGAGGCCCGGGGGGAAGTGTGGTGGGGCCACATGTAAACTTTAAGTTTGGTTATGACACATTTGGAAGGCCACTTGAGGATGAACCGTCGGGTGGCGTTCAAGACGAAGACGAGCCTGGTGCTTCAAGTATGAAGACCCATCAACACACGCCCTTGAAACCACACTCTCTTTTACTTAACAAATACTTAGTGATTCCTCTGTGATTGGTGGATAGTCAACATAATTTTTTTTTTTTTTTGAGACAGGGTTTCTCTGTGTAGTTTTGGTACCTGTCCTGGATTTTGCTCTGTAGACCAGGCTGGCCTGGAACTCACAGAGATCCGCCTGCCTCTGCCTTCTGAGTGCTGGGATTCAAGGCGTGCGCCACCACCACCCGGCTCAACACAATTTTTTAAGAAGCCAAATAATACTATTCAAATGTGGAATGAATGGAAAATAGACCTGAAACGTTCTCTCTGCTGGCTAACTTTCAATGGGGCTGGAAGGCGTCAGGCTGGCCACCTGGGGTCAGGGGAGTTTACCACTGGGTGTTGTGATACTGACTTGATGATAAGGTGCTCTCACTGGTGCCGCAGTGACGTGAAAGTTATGGGAGAAACCAACTGTTTTATGAATAAAAATAATTGGTACCTATCTCGTCCTATAAATCTGGTCAAAAGCTCATGGCTAGAGATTTCACAGGCCTGAGGCGGAACCCAGTACTGTTGTTTTGCTAAATGAACATGCTGTCAGGCTGCCTTCTAAATATTTATGTTTGGCCAGGGGATG